CCCCCCCCCGCAATGGGCATGGGAGCCTTTGAAACACTGGGGGGTAATGTTGTTGAATTCTCAATATTCATTTTGATCTGGTAATTGCAGTTTGCACCCACATATCACGACTATGTGCTATATAACAATAGTGAGGGAGAAGAAGGATCAATGAAGTACAGGGCACGCACATTCGTCCCAACCGGTACAGAGATGGACTCTGTTAGAAGAAACCAGAGTTTGTTTGGAAATAGGTTGGAAGATGTTCAGTTACCAGTTTTCTCCTCATCTTCGGGCAGCAGCAGTCCCGATAATCTGGACACTGATATGGTCCCTACATCTAAAGCTGAGGCAACAATAAACTCTTCAGTAGAAGAAGTGAACACATTGAAAGCGCAATCTCTTCCATACGATCTCTCGGTCATTGATATCGAAATGTCTGATTACCCAACACAGGTACCCCCAGTGAATGAAACTGGAGTAAGGTGGGGATGAGTATGAACCTTGTGAATATTAACTACCTCACATTGGTCTGTATACTAGTGTTCTTTAATGCTCTTGTTATTGATGTCATTCAATTGGCTTACTGAGTTTGGACGTTTAGCCTAATTTCTCGTTTCTCTGTTTACTGTTAATATTTCTTTGAGGGGCAAATTTGGTACCACTCATTCACTGCTCCCTTACACTAGTCCAATTGGGTCACCTACGGTGCTCCATTTTTAAAATTGATGGATCCTACCCCCTAACCACCCTAAACCCCTCACTCCAACCTTCTGTCCCTGCCCCCCCCCCCCCCAATTCCCTTAATTGCCAGATTTAAATTTGCCAAATGACGATTAAGGGAAAGGGCAGGGGCACAGAGGTTAGAAAGCATCAATTTTACGAATGGGGTACTGCATGTGCCCTATTGGACTGGTGTAGGTATTTGACACCAATAGTGGTGGTGTCGATTCAGAATTTCTCTATTTCTTTTGTTGTATATTGATGACACCTTAAATGAAGTTGTGGCCTTCAAAAAGTTGTATTGCAGCAACCCACCCTTATGGGAATAATTGTAACAATCTTTTTGTTTTGTTTTCTTTTGAGAAAGGTGTAAACATCTTGGCCTTGGGATTATGTCAAGTGACTTGGTAGAAATTATATTCATTCGTGAAATCAAACGCTAGATGAAAGAAATTCTAAGTCTTGTGACATTAAGTTCTTGAGTTATGTTAGGTTGTCAAACTTTGTTAATTTTGACGTGTTGGTAGTAAAGGCTCGAACACAATTGTTCGGGAATTGGATATAGGTATTAGGCTGAACCATTATAGATTTGTGTGTTGTTATTTTCCTTCACTTTTTCTTATGGTGTGTTGGTTTTGATCGAGATTTAGTCAAGAACGCTTCCCCAAAAAATCAACAACTTAGGTAATACTTCTATTCATAACCCCCCCCCCCCCTCATGTAGAGGTGTCTGTGGTGTAGACTTGATGAAGGTATGAAGACTCAAACAACGTTTGATGTTAACAATAGAAGTCGTTCTTTTGTGTAAGCATGTTGTTAATGCAATAGAAGTTCTTCTGTTATTGATTGATGTAATCTTTATGAAGATTTAATGAAGGGTTGTTACATGGATGACGGTTTCACAGAGTTGTAAAATTTGCTTTGAATTGTATAAATAATTCTTTTGTTGTTTATTATTTTATTCAATTTTCTATGTGTGTGTTGCGTACTATGAAGATGTTGTAGCATTTTGTTTGTCATCTACTTGAATTACAACATCATCACGATCTTTTGTATTCTTAATTCGACCTCCTTGCACTAATTTTATTTGGGTATTCACATGACCCATCACATATTTCATTAACTAACATCATTTAAGATGTTTTCAATCACTTATATCATTTTAAAAACTCGTAGCATAAGACTTTCATTTGATGGTCGCTCACTCTGTCAAATGCGAATTTTCTAAACTTTAATTATAAAATACCGATTATTTATGAATTAGAATTTCAATAAAAATGAGCTGGTTTCACTTTTTGACTGATTGGGTACCTTATAAACACACACAAGGCTTATTACGCCACCCCCACTTTTTTTTAAATACTTTAGTATATCCCTTAGGTTCCCCAAGAATGAAATGCACCTTCTTATGAGAAGAGCATAGTTTTTTGTCAAACAAAAATGCTCTTTCTTTTTGTATGCAAAAAAAAATCTCATTCTATTTAAAGAATGAAATTAGTGCTTCATATTCTTCTCTCTGCTCTTCATAAATTTTTACTTCGTATATACAATTTATTTCTTCTTTTATTATGAACTTGTCAACATGAGAAGGTCTATCTAAGAGAGAAGAAGAAATCAATCTTTTTTAGATGATTATTGCATATGGTTTTAACATTTTCAAAATTAATTTAAATTAAGGACATATTATTCTTACAATAACATTTATATACAACAATCATATGGCAATTTAATTGGGATATATACAATATTTCATTCATAAAATGGATAGTTTATACCTCATCTAACATCTCGCTCTAAGCCCCCGCCCTTACCCCTTACTCCTATCTCAACCTCGCTGCACTCCACTCATCCCTTTATCAGTATTCGGTGGGGTAGAGGGTGTGAGCCTGAGTGAGGTCGTGAGGAGGCCTAAGGGATAAGAATCGTCTAATAAATAAAGTACTAGGTTCTTCAATCAAATTATTATATGATTTTTGTATTTTTTTCTTGTTGTAAGCTTATCATTTCTCTTTAATATTGAAGAAGAGTAAACACCAAATGTTTGGCAAGATTGTTATATCAATTTAATTGGGACACCTACAATGCACTGATCCTAAAATTGATTGTTTTTATCCCTCCTAATTTCACAATAACTCCCCATCAACGCATCTCATGCCTAGCGCACCCACACTCCCCATTCAATTAAACCACCCAATTTTTTGTTGACTTTGTGGCTACTTTTTTATTACTCCCTCCGTCCCAATTTAAATTGTCCGTTTTGACTTTTGGGCATATTTAAGGAAAATAAAAAATAGAGTAGATTTTTCAAAATTGGTATTACTTTTTAAGAGGGGTAATGATGAATGAGAAGATAAGGTGAAAAAGAATGACTTATTTTAAGGGTAGTTTAGGTATTTTATTTTTAATAGTTTACGAAAACAACTAACATGCAATTTATTTTGGGACGAAGAAAAAAGGCAAACATGCAATTTAAAATGGGACGGAGGGAGTAGAAATTTAGTTGGTGCAATTGGTGGAGGTGTGTAGATAACATATTATACTATTCAAATTGTTCATTTGTGTATTTTTATTGATTATTTCAAAAAATAAAATATTCTTGTCAACTCTTATATTGTAGAATTTTTGATGTATTGTTTAAATATGTAAATTTTATTTTTATTTATATACCAATTTTATATTAAAATGAATTTAAAAATTTTAAAATTATATTTTATTTTACGAAAAGAGTAAATGATTTAAGGACGAAAGAGTATTAAAATTTTATTACAAGATTTATTATTTTCCTTAATCTTTGCCCCAATACTCCGTATCATCAAAACAACCTGCCGGATCCACATTTTGGCTGCTTGGGTCCCTTCCAAACACGATTCTTCTCCACCTGAGTCCTGAGCCTCTTGAGGCCGCTACTGTGGAGCTTCCCTCTCGTAGCCCCCGTCATTCTCTCCCCTCTTTCTGCCTCAACATAGAAACCCACGAAAAGCCCACCATCTCGCCGCCACTGGGCACCACAACCGGAAAAGGGCTCCACTGTCCGAGGTATTTGACCTCGAACTCGGTCAAAGGCACGCCATGTGGGGTGGCCGGCACTTCCGGGACTCGGCTCCGACCAGTGTCCGGCCGCGTCCCGCGCCCGATTTCTCCCCAGGTTCGCTCATCACGTCTCCTGCATTACTAGACTCATTCTCACTGCACATTTATCATTTCTTTCTTTTTCTTCTTAAAAATAGATTCTTTCCCAATGGGGAGGAAGAAGATGAGAACTAACGAGGCTCCGCTGAGCCAAACGGCCACCGTGTGTTGGCGGGAGGAACTGGAGGAGAGAACCCAGAAACTCAATTCAGGGATTTGGGACTATTCTGACCCCTATTGCATGCCTAATTTGTGGGAGAGCTTGGGATGTGGGAAGTATGGGAGTGTCACAAGTGAAATTGAGGAGCTTTTGTCTCAGAGCAGACTCTACATTGATTCTTGCTACGCGAGGGATCCTACCCTTCTGTGTAAAATCATAGAGATGGAGTATAATTTTACTGCAGAGGGAAAGGGGGGTCGAAATGGTGCTGGTGTGATTGATTTGGAGGATGATCATGTTGCTGGAAACGTTCCGTTTTCCCGCTTTGTCCCTGCTGCACAGATTGCCCCTTCTGCTGGCCCTGTTGTTATTATTGATTCAGACGATGAGGACACCGCAAAGCCTAATTGCACATTCCAGGGATTCCTCCCCATTAATACAGCTGGGAGCACTTATTTAATGAACAATGTGGTAAGTCTTCCCATGGATGATAACAGATTAACAAACAAAAGCAGACTATTATTTACTTTGGGACGAATATAAGCGCCTGAAAACAGTGGTTTGTGTATTAAGACCTATTAATGCATTTACCATGCCATACTCAACTTTTACAAACAGAACTACCAGTTGGAGCATGGGCCTAAAGCTTTGGCAGTACAGTCTTTTCAAAATACAGGTAACTGCTGGCATGACATTTATTTGTTTCAAAGCTTGAGGAGGAAATCAAACTAGTTTTGATAGTTAAATTTGCATTATGTAGTTTACATGGGCGATTCTGTTGAGGCACTTAACTCTTCAATACTTGTAAGTTTTCCTCCATTTGTTTGCTTTTGGATATGTTATTTTCTCTAGTTATATTATCCAGTTGATATAGCACAATGCAGATTGATTTATGCTATTCTTCCTCGAAATACTTCAGTTTCAATTAAGTGTTGAATACTCTGAAAGACTCTTGCATCTAATCTATTTGTTCCATATTTAATTACTTGGGATTGTAGAGTTCAATATGTTTCTCTATATTTTTGCGGGAACATATTTTTGCATGCCCTTCCCATTTCTCTCTATTTTCTCCCTATCTGATGTAGGGACGGGATTCGGCTGGAACCAAGTTGCCAATGGAAAGTGAAACTGAAAAACCGAAGGACAAAGGCTTGTATGTTGGGGTAGAGGATGATTCAGAAACAGAAGAAGGAAATGATGCTAATTTTGATGGGTTGGATGATATCTGGAACGAAATGTCTTTTGCTATAGAGTCCTCAAAGGTATGCTTGTTGGTATTGTATTCGACTACACCAAGGAGTTATCATTTTCCCCTGGTCTGCACTTTGCATTTGTTAGTGGTTGAGTTGTTTATCTTGGGATGATTACTTAATCCACGGTCAATCTTTATAATTGTATATCACATACAGATCTTACGATGACCATTTTCTTTCTACATCTAGTATTTTGTTTAATGTGTTTCATTTATTTTGGGTGTTGATGACTTCGCTGCGTGTGACAATAACATTGTACACAGTCTTATATATCTGCACCATATATTGAATTTTCCTAATGTCAAAAGGACATGGCTGCGGATGCTTCTTTGGATGGGGATGCAGAAGAAGATGAAGGATGTGATCATTCTTTCATCCTAAAAGAAGACATTGGATCTGTATGTCGCATCTGTGGAGTTATCAAGAAAAGCATAGAAAGCATAATTGATTACCAATACGCAAAGGTGTGTTCTTCTGTAATGCATCTTCCTTTACTTTCAGGAATTTCATAAATAATTTGTTTTGTTATCTATTATCTAATACTCCTTCCGTTCCTAAAAGAAGTTTTGGTTGCAGTTTACGATGGTTGATTAAAATTATTTTATATCCAATTTATTTACATGTTGGAGTAAAGTTTTTAAACTAAAATTTATATATATAAGCTAGAATCAAAATCTCTCTATAAGACAAGAGATGACATGAATGTTTTATTTTATCAAATGATTAAAAAAATCAAGAGGTCTTCAATGATTAAAGAAAATACTACATAGTTTGGCCATGTGAATAGTGAGAGCATGACGTTGTTTAGAGGACGGATGGAGTACATCCTTCCCTTTTGAGGGTTTTGAGGAATTATCATTTTGAAAGATGGGAAACTCTATGCATCAATTAATGAGTTTGTAATTGTTACAGGGCTTCCCCTAGAAATTAGATTATTGTGAGGCTGATAGGAAATTTTCTAGATAGTGTGAGTCTGTAATGGTTTGGGTAATTAAATGATCGGTATTCCATTTGGTCAATTAATTACAGCCGAATTTCCACTTTTGATCATTGTCTATCAATTCATCCATTTTTTGTCCCTTGACATTTTCAAATGCTCCAAGTTTGGTCTAAAATATTCAAAAAAGCATTTGCATGAAGAATGCAAAAAATGTTAAGGTGAGGGTATTTCAGACAATTCTAACCTTAACCTGCTATATGTCTATCCGAGGAAGTCAAGGGAACACATGTGATCAAGTTGATGATAAACACTAAAACTTGAAATGCCATTATATGTACACTTGTGCGAAGCGGAACAAATTTTAACTTTTCTTAATGGCAAACAACTAAACCACAGTTTCTCTATGTTTTGACTTTTGATTTATTTCTCATTATGATCGATGTTTACATTTGAGCCACCCCCAATGATTTGGGATCAAGGACTGGTTGGTTGTTGTTGATTGATGGCTATATTTGGATGAAACTGAATATTCATTTGTGTCATGTTGTTTAGACTGACATGTGCAAAACTCCTCTTCTTTGTGCGCGCTAAATTTATATTCATTCATTTTTAAAACACGGACTTTAATTTATTGACTGGAGGGTATTTTTTATGTTTTAGACCGTAAAGAGTGCAAGAACGTATTATTATGAAGGTCGAACAGCCAAGGACTCAGGGCCAGGTGAGAACCTATCTGAAGTCCTAAAATCATCTCAAGAATTTGCAGTTGCCGATATTTCTGCCCATCCGAGGCACAAAAAACAGATGAAACCACATCAAGTTGAAGGGTTCAATTTTCTGCTCAACAATTTGGTGACCGACAACCCTGGGGGCTGCATACTGGCACATGCTCCTGGTTCAGGGAAGACCTTCATGATCATTAGTTTCTTACAAAGTTTCATGGCAAAGTATCCGGCTGCTAGGCCTTTGGTGGTGCTGCCCAGAGGAATCTTGTCCACATGGAAGAAGGAATTCATCCGGTGGCAAGTGGAGGATATTCCCCTCTACGATTTCTACTCTGTGAAAGCCGACAATCGATGCCAACAGCTGGAAGTTTTGAAGCAATGGGCAGAGGCAAGGAGCATTCTCTTTCTTGGCTACAAACAGTTTTCAGTAATTGTGTGCGACCATGATACGGGCAGCGCTACAATTGCATGCCGTGAGATTTTGTTGACTTGCCCATCAATTCTTATTTTGGATGAAGGCCACACGCCAAGGAACCAGGATACAGATGTTTTGACTTCACTGGAAAAGGTCCAGACGCCGCGCAAGGTTGTTCTGTCCGGGACACTTTACCAAAACCATGTCAAAGAGGTCTTCAATATTTTGAACCTTGTTCGTCCAAAGTTTTTAAAGCGTGAAGAATCTAAGTCAATCAAGAGGCGAATATTGAGCAGGGCATCAATTTCAAGCAAAAGGAACATTATAAAGAAAGGTTCAGATAATGACTTCTTTGAGTTAGTGGAGCACACACTTCTGAAAGATGACAATGTCACTAGGAAGGCCACAGTTATCCAAGATCTAAGGGAGATGACGAGCAAAGTTCTCCATTATTACAAGGGAGACTTCTTGGATGAACTTCCCGGGCTGGTGGATTTTACAGTGATCTTGAAGCTGCACCCTAAGCAGAAAAGTGAAGTTGCCGAGTTGAAGAATTTGAGAAGAAAATTCAAAATAAGCGCCGAAGGGAGTGCGTTATATGTGCACCCTCAGTTGAAGAATCTCTCCAAGAACACTGGTGCTAAAGATAGGATAGACGTAGGGAAGATTGATATGCTTCTAGACACTTTGGATGAACGAGAGGGAGTGAAAGCCAAGTTCTTTCTGAATCTTTTGGCATTGTGTGAATCCCACGGAGAAAAACTCCTTGTGTTTAGCCAGTACCTTTTGCCTTTGAAATTCTTGGAGAGACTGACAATAAAAGTTAAGGGCTATTCTGTTGGGAAGGAGATTTTCATGATCACGGGAGATTCGGATAACGAAGTGCGCGAGGCATCAATGGAACGGTTCAACACATCCGCGGACGCCCGTGTTTTCTTCGGATCAATCAAGGCCTGTGGTGAGGGAATATCACTGGTGGGCGCATCACGGATCATCATACTGGATGTCCACTTGAACCCATCGGTTACCCGTCAAGCAATAGGGCGCGCATTCCGGCCCGGTCAACTCAAGAAAGTATACACCTACAGACTGGTGGCTTCTGGCACACCAGAGGAGGAAGACCACACAACCTGTTTCAGAAAGGAATCCATAGCAAAGATGTGGTTCGAGTGGAACCAATACTACGGTCTGGACGATTATGAGATGGAGAAGATGGATCCGACACAATGCGAGGACGAATTTCTGGAAACAGCAAGGTTTTCTGAAGACATTATTGCCCTCTACAAAAGGTAAGTAACAAAAAGAATGTTTTTTTTTTGAGTTATTAATTAATGCAGTTCATTTCCCAAGACTTTGTGTTGACTTGTTGGTTTTTATTTGTTTGCCAGATAAAGGCGTGTTTGGGAAGTAGGGGCAATGTGCATATATATATATATATATATATATATATATTTATATATATATATATATATATATATATATATATATATATATATATATATATATATATATATATATATATATATATATATATATATATATATATATATATATATATATATATATATATATATATATATATATATATATATATATATATATATATATATATATATATATATATGAACTCGGATTATGGTAGGCTATATATATAGTTGGGTTGATCCTTGTGACTTTGTTTTGTCATAGAAAGCTTAAGTGTAAAGCTTCAACATGAATGGCTACTTTTGAATGATTTTTGATCCTTCTAACTTATGGTATGGCATTGCTTTATGTTCATGTTTCTAAAGTAAAACAATTGGATCTTTTGGTCCCAATATAAATGTTTTTTAGTTGAGTTTTTCTTTATCTTTATCATATTATTCATACCCAGAGTATCATTTAATTTATGGGTAAAATATGTTTTTGGTCCCTGTAAAATATGTGACTTTTTTTAATTCCTGTAAAACAATTTTTTTTACAAAAGTTGATATGCCAAATAGACTAAACAGTTATCACCTAAAATAGAAATTAAATTCTTAAAAGCATCACACTATCAAATGCCATATAAGAATTGTCAATTATTCACATCCCATAAAAAAGCACACAATTGGTCGGATGCAATTAGTAAAAACATTTAGTTAAAATTTGTGATGAAGATACAAATTATATAAGTAAATGATATAAATTGCAGTGTCAATATTTTTGTCGTTAAAAGGTACGTGAATAAAGTAAATACACTATAACAAATAACAGTGAATTTTAATAATAAAAAAATAATCAAACCTATATATCATTAAAAAAACTGTTTGGCTCAAAATAATATCGTTTTTGATGATTAATGTTTGCTGTTCTATCTTATTGTTTACTACTCGGGGGTATAAAAGCAATTGCTCTCTCAAGATCTAATCCTCGCCAATATTTTTCATCCTAAAGTCTTCTCATTACCCTATTCTTTTGTAATTTTTTTAAAAATAAAAAGTTTAAAAATCAAATCACTGGGATTTTTGAAGTTTGAACTATCCCCTCAAATGTGTTACATTTTGGCTACTAAAATGAAAAGGAATGCATCAAAGTAATGTCAATCAATTAAAAATATTAGGCAAAGTTCCTAAAAAATGAAAAATCTCA